CAGAAACAAACAGAGGCAGGCAGCAGTGTCTGTAACAGCTCCGCTTCACAGGTGGTGGCAAAATATTAGATGGTCCTTACTCTTTGTTACATGTTGCAGTGAGTGATTGAGAAAGCTGTGGCGTACAAGTGTCACTTGAGAATTCTGGATTGGTCTGTGAGATTTTTAGTCAAGACGTCTGCTGATTCTCATTAAACTATCTGCCAGCATATGCTGCGATGCTGGTGTTTTCCATCAGCGCTGACATGGGTGGGTTGGGGGTTTGGGGTTGGTGTGGGACGTGTGGTGCTTGTGACGGCAGTGGAGGCGGGCGCTGCTTAAATCTATCACCAAAGCATAAATGATCTTTTCACGGTTTTGTTTACGTGCATCCGTGATCAGGGCGGGGGTTCTGTGCGCCACCGACCTTGAAAAGCCAACGCATAACACTTCATTTCCCCATCCACTTCATCCAATGGCAGGAGACGGTGAAAGCAGACAGGGGGTTCGGTGGTGGGGGGTGGGGGTTGCCAAGCAACCTGTTGTAACATTAACAAGGAGTGAAAACAGAAACCTGGTGTCTGGCTGAAACATCCGGCCTGATCCAAAGCCATCCATTATTCCCAGTAAAGCGAAGGCTGTTCTCTACAAATGCTGCCACTACAAAGCTTTCTGTTCAAGTCATGCAAATATCCAGCGTCACCACACAGCTGGTGTACAGAAACCGCAGCTAATTAAAACAAGTGATCCTAAAAAAGTATGTCTCAACAAGGAAATACTATCATTTCATTATTCTTCCAATATCCAGTAAAAATAGTAGTACATATATAACTACATATATCACTCTGAACAGGTGGGTACAGTAGGCCTACAACACAGCGACAGTATCCACCTATGTAAACAACAGCAAAAGCTAAATTATCCACACTTTGGCAATGCAAATAAATTCTGAGGAGACTGCATGACCAAAGGGGTAATTGGACTTGAATGAAAAAACAAAACATATTGTGACTAGTTGTCTGTCTGATTTCCAAACCACATGGAGATCATCATGGAAAAACAAGACTATGATATTCCCCAGGCCAGCTGGCTTTGGCAAATCTTTAAAATTCAGTTTTGAGATTCATGTTTCCGAGGATCGCTCCTCTCAAATCTAGGGGAACTGTGTAACGTGACTCGTCATAAAATATTAACAACCGCGCTGGGTTCATGGTAAACAAAGAGCCCCGCGCTCGAGAAGTTGCACAGATCAGGCAGCTGTTTGTTGTGCAGATCAATCAGTTCTGTATCGGCTTTTTTGGATACAGAAACACGATGTGCACCTCAGTGGTGGATGCTATTCTGCAAATGGAAAAATTCAAGCATACACGTTGCAGCTAAAATTAATGCAGGCTGCAAACTTTACACTCTGTTTGAATATTATTTGAACTGTGCACTCTATCCTCCTGTTTAGATACACTAAAACACCTGATGAATCACTGTATCTATACATATACATATATATGTTTTAAATCGAGGAGGGAAAGCATTCCTTTGCAAATCATCCAAATTTACTGTTGAAGAAAAAGTCAATACCGTCATGTGTTCAATCTTTCAGAACATAACAAACATTTTCCTTCACATAGATCACTTTCACCTTGCTTTAAATGCACAACAGAACCTGCAAAATGTCATAAGGGTACGTCTGCTCCCTGCCTAAGTAAATGGCTCCTGGGTGAGCTGCTACCAAACATGTGACTGATGTGTTATATGTACACACCTATCAAAATCCCTGTGTAAACAGCCACAGGTCCTCTATTGACATCTTGTAAACCAGAAGTCTTTGTTGTACTTGTAGTAAGGACATGTGGGAAGCTAATGGATTTCCTGATCTTTCTATGTAAACAACGCTTAGATAACTGAATATCTCCATTAACCACGTCCAACAAGTCCACATGATATGACGAACACAAGTGACTGGGTTATTTCCAGAGCGTGGCAGCTACACAGCAAAACACTGAAACAGGTGGTTTGGAGTAAAATCCGTCTGAATACTTTCCCCCTGTCCTTGGAGCGGTTTGATGAATTATTTGTGCAAGGGTTAATATTTTATCACGCCTGTTTAGACTCATGTTACTCGGGGGTAAAAATGTGAATGAAGACTGAGGCGGGGGATCTGTAGAGTTTCACAAGTAGGCGTCTTATGTATTATAAAAAGCTCCAATCTTAGATCTTCAGTTAAAATAGGAAACGGCAGGATTGTTTTCCAGGTAGACATCACGCAAAGATGCCTCTGTAATTCCTTAGAATTCCATGACAGCAACAATGAAAAATGCATATTATAAAAAATTACAACCATAGTGACCAATGTCAGTTTTGCCTTCATACAATCCTTCCCAGTGGCATGTTTAGTGGGACTAAGAGAAAATCCCAGTTAAGATGTGGGCAAGACGGAGGTGTTTGTTACAGTCTGTGAGTCTGTGTGTGGCCACAGTTGCGCCGCCAAGCAGTTGTTCATATCACATGCTGTTCAGTGTGAGTCTTCAGACAGACCTGTTTGACATATAGCCCAACATTCAGGTCCTTGTGTCAACACAAAGAACATCCACACTTTTAATATTGTGCAGTTACATAACACAGGTGCTAAGTTAGTCATGCTCACAAAGATGTCCCTGGAATAAGGAGTGGAAAATGATAACGGTCCTACCAAATCAACCTCCTATCAAGAATATCTCCAAAACAAAGATGACAGAGGTGACAGTTTAGTTTGATCACACTGTACAGTGAACAGCTCCCAACATCTCCATGCAGCATAATATGCATTCCATTAAGTGGATGGTCTTGATGTCACAGCCCTACTGTATGCATGTAGAGTAGCCTGAAGTCTGCCCCCTATGACTCACATTGACAACCGCCGCCGTCCAACTTAAAGAAACCAACGGATCGGACTTGTCTTAAAATAAATAAATAGATACATAAATGTTATTCAGCAGTGTTATACAGACAGCAATCCTTTAATTTTCAGATTAAGGATTTAGGTTTTTTCTTCTCGCATTCAGCTACAGAGTGCGGCACCCATGGCGGGACGCATTCCCACTGTATGGATCTGCCTTTACTGCAGCAACTGTCCCACAGCCACAGCCCCCATCTGCTGAGATGCAAAATTAAAACCGACTGACTCACAGAAGCATTCATATTTGCTAACCATTGATAAACTCACGTAGCAGACTCTGTAATTAATATGAAATACATTATGCAGTACTGGCTTTGCATCACACCTTAACAATTCTCAAGTCAGCTGTTAACAGAGCCAGTGGGAAATAAAAATAAACTGTTCATGCCCTGATAATAAGAACCTTTCTTTTAAGAGAAAATCTTAAAGAAGGGCTTCAGAGAAGTGCAGCTGTAACGAGCAGGTACGCTCACCTCTCTGTGATGGTAATCCAGCGTTGTGCTCGCTGATGCAGACAGACACACTTCACTGAGCTCTTTGCGACAGCTGCTCTCCACCAGCGTCCTGTCAGCGCTTCACACTCACCGGTTTCAACTGCGTCAACACCGGCGCACTGCTCGCCCACCGAGCGCGAAGACCTCTCCTTTCACAATAAAAGCCTGAAGCTAGTCGCTTCAAAACGGAATTAACATAAAGGGGGAAGAAAAAAGTTCAACTGCTGACTTTGTAAGTCTGTTGCGCTGGGTAGATAGCTGGGAAATATTAAGCATCAGGATAGATCTAGCTATTTATCCACCTTTCTATTTAATTCCTTTATGGATTGATGGATTGGCCTCGACAGAGCCCGGAGCACAACATTACAGAAGCAGTGTGGGATCATTTAGTCTGAGAAAAGAACAAAAGAGACAACATCCAAAGGAGAGCTTTGAACTATTCCTGAAGACTATGACTAGAAAGCTCGTATAAGGGATTTCCAGCAGCATTGAAGAATAAACATTGACATATTGAATATTAACTTTGAAACTAATTGGAATTGTCTAAATGTGTATGCCTCAATAAATGACTTTAAAGACTTTTAATTCCCATTTTTCTAGCAAAATATTAGAAAATAAGGGATGTTCTCAAGACTTTTGCATAGTACTATGTAACTATCAATCATCATCAATCAAAAAAAAAAAATCACCAAATAACTACGCTGTTAATAGTAGAATAATATTAATATTCACTACTGTTATCCACCTGCTACAAATACAGTTTATTATGGAATAAGTTAAACAGTTGTAAGCTCAGCATAATAATAGGGCAGCCAGTTGCTGTAGGGGTGGCTTAATACTTTTGTAGAGTACTGTATTTGACGTTTTTACAACAGTAAAGATTTTACTTTGAAAGTTTCGGCCAGAAGTCCCAGCTGTCTACACTCCATCGCACTTTATACCTTTTTCTCCTCAAAGCATTTAAAAGGATCTATTTTAGGGTTCATTTATATTCATAACACTATGTTAATTTGACTCATTTGATAATATCAAGTAAAAGGTTTTTACATACATAAAAAATATGTAAATATAAGCTGAAGTATACCTTTAGAGGGTAACAGAAGATGTGAAGCACCATCCAGTGATCAAATGGTATATCACAGCTTAATAAATGAACAGCGGCTGCGTTGTACTTACCCAGCTAAAACATGTATTTTTTTAATCACCATTTTGTCATGTTTAAAAAATTACATAAGGTCTGTTAGACAACAAAACTGTCTTTCCCCACAACATTCATGACTCAGTTTAAGAATGATACTGTACAAACATCACAGCTAAACTGTAAGTCACTAAGCTGTTGGTGGGTAACAGGAATTCAGGTAAAGTAAGTAGAATACCACAAAACTCATAATTAGCACAGGCAAAAATATCACATATTTATCTGGTAAACGGAGCAGCATTAATGTCACTTTTCAGTTAAATTACACAACAGGAGATTGAACACACTGAAATATTATAATTAGAATATCAAGAAAAACAAATGTTTACTATTCTAATATATCAAAATTTAAACCCATAACAAAAAGAAATTAATACGCCTACTATTAATACTACTATTATGATTTTCATTAGGACACTTAATATTTATTGCAATTATATTCTTTGAAAATCTCACATTTATTTACAACTACAAACTTACTTTTACGATATTTTTTACAGTAAAGACATACCATAGCAAATACAGCGGAAACATATCACACATGGATCACAGGCACAGTCATGAGAAATGGATGTTTTGGTTCGGTGGACTCATACATGAGAAAGAAAAAAAATTAAATAATATATAACTATTACTCTGCATGAGTTCATCTTGCTAAACCTGATGGTTGTTTACAGCTACACGTTACCTTCTCTATCCCTCTTACACAATAAATAACTTACAACTTGAGAGATCAAATTCAGTAAAATTGAAGATGTGCGGCTCTCATCGATGTCTGCGAGGTACAGGAGGTGCTGAGTCAGTTGGCCTGTAAGAAGGTCTTTGAGGAAGTATTCGTGTCGGGCAGGATATGTAACGCTCATGGACCATCTCTGTCACCCTGCAGGAAACACACTGTTACTGTATAGGAAGGTTATTTGCACTGTAACAGTAGAGACGGTATACAGCAAAGGGTGTGTAAACTGTGACGTTTAATTTCTTATAATTATGCATGAGAAAAAAAACAAAACTTGAAAAGAAGATGCAAAGATAACATTTCAGACACAGTTCTGTATCATTTACTTATCTGACACCCTACATTCAGGAAATATGAACTGTACAAGAATCACTCATTCACTGGTTTAAAATAGATTTCAATACTTTAACAAACTGCATGTTTTAGGAACTACAGTACATGAACTCTCTGATAGTGGTCACAGCTCTTATGCAAAGTTAGTTAATGTCAAAGCATGTTATTTTTTTCTATCATTACTGAATTTAGTCATCATCTTATTTAGTTATGTAGGTGGAATAATAAACAGAATTATTAATATTTTTAATGAAATCAATAATTCTTTAAGTTACAGCCCATTAAAGAAACATTAAGCAGTTTTACATTTAGCTACGTTTTTAGCTAAAGTTAGCTAAAGTTAGCTAATGTTAGCTAATGTTAGCGCACACACAAGTTAAGCTGTTGCACGTTTGTATCAATTTACTAAGTTCATTTGGTTGTTTATATTCAAACGCTTTACACTCCATCACCCTTCATACTGTAACTTCTCATTTACACGTTCCCAAGACAAATATCTTTTTGATCTTTTAACCTTCAGACACACAGATGCTAAGAAAAACTCTAGATAAGATCACAGTGCCATGCAATGAGAACAAATTGAACCCACGCACGAAGAATTTAGTATACTCTATGTAGCAGCTCATACATACTTGGTGTAGGTGTTTGTTCATTTCTGTTATCTATTCTTTCAAAACTGAATAATTTAATGTCAGTCTGTGGATGTCAAATTACTTAAAATTCTGTGTACTTAAAGCAATTTTGCTAACTCTTGAGTCTTTTTTTTTAACAGAACACAAATGTTGTATTTACCCACTAATAGTAATTAAAACTCATCACACACAATTACTGTATGAATGAGAAGTATTATGCAGATATTTAAAGTATAATATAATATTTCTGACATCATGTCAGAAAGCTAAAGAAGCTGATTGTTTATCAGATTTTAGAGATACATTGTACTGCCACCCAGATTTTTTTTTTTTGAAAGAGATAAGAGACACAGAAGGGCATTTATCAGTAAAAAGGATCTGCAGCGTTTCACAGGTTCTCAGGTATTTACGGCAGCTCTTGCTACCCACTTCAGTCATTTTCATCTTTTTCATTTTTAAGTGGTCTCACTATAAGTGGTCTCACCTATGTGTGTGGAAGTTATTTGTGTGTTTACAGAGTATAAGCATCAGTATCTTGATCACTTTCTCGCTCTGGCTTCCTCTGAAACGCACAGCTGCGAATTAGTGGTGGGTGAACATTTCCTCTTTTACAGTTTTCTGTTTCACTCAGTGCTGCTTATAGATTTTTTTTTACGTGCTCCCAGTCTTTCTGTCATATTCTAACACAGTTATGATTGCTGCTAGGCACCGTCACATAACCGTACAGTGTATTTGCTACTTTGCGTTGTTTTTTCCTATACCTGATGTCGCATAGTGCTCAGTACTGCATGGTTCTGCTTTCACTTCAGTAATCTGAATCGCTGTTCTCTAGACTGACCTTTCTGGGTTCCGTGGAGGAATCCTGGGTGGAGGAATGGAAGGTGCAGCACTGCCTGGCCGTGGCGGTCGTGGTGGAGGAGGGAAACTTTCTATTGAGTCCTTTAAAAATACAATGACATATATATGTGGCCACACTTGAAATACTTCAAAATAAAACAGCCTAAAGCTGTAGTTTAACAGCTGAGTCAGTTAATGAAAAAGCTAACATTGTCACAGTTATTGGTTTAAGCAATTCATCTCCTGAAACTGTCAAGAACTCCCAAATTTTCAGCTAAACACACAAAGATGACAGTTGTTGTTTTGTTGGTCTGGAGAATAAAAGATCATTGTTTTAATTACACCCTGAGGAAGTCATTAAGCAGTGTCAGTCAAGCTTCCACGATGGGTCGTGCAGTTTGAGTCTTTTAACAACAGACAGGGAATACTCATCTTACCCATCTTGCAATTAAAAGAAGGACAGAATTTGCACCAAAATCTAAGAGATTCTTTGTCTGCCCGTGCCCCAAATCTCCTTCAGCTCTGTACTTTTTCTTCAATCATGATGACAGACAGTAAACGCTAATGAAAATGATATAGAATCTGCTTCAGTAAAGAACACACATTTACAGAACTTACATTTAAATATTGTCTGGAAGGTATTTTAGGAAATGAAAAGCTGAAGTAAGAGAGCAAAATAAAACAAAACTAAACACTAGACTTTCTACCTCTTTTTTTCTACCTCTCTACTGCGCATGCAGTCATGTTGTATAGACATCAGACACATGCAGCATCATAAGAGAAAGGGAAGTTTTAATTTGGGTTATAAAGAGTAAGAAGGAAGAAACAGCTAGCTATAACTCATGCAAATGCATTTCTGTGTGAACCCTTCAGTTTCCACGTGCCTTGAAGATGCACTTGTACCTATTGTTAAATCAAGCTCACCTCGTCAGGTTCTGTACCGCTGCTGTAGCTAAAGGTGCTGTGCGTGCTGAGTCTGTTGCTTTCGGTGCCTGATGACAAGAAGAAGCACAGCAAAAATAAAACACGTGATTCCGAGTATCTCTGAGGTTAGTGCTTGTGGTGAATTATGTTGTAAGACCACTTCGCTAAATGTGGGTAAAATATGTTTTAGGCCTTGACACTATTATACAAGATGTACAAGATGGTGTATGAACAATCAGAGCAAGACAGAGACGCAGCTCATATGCATACCACCATTACAGACTTAAAGTAATCATGAAGCAGTATAGCAAGCCATTCTTTAGATCCGTTAATGTTATCAGTGTTTTTGAAAGGAAGCTGCTTGCCCCTTTTGAAATTTATGTGCAAATGTTTGCTTTTTTTAAAAAAAAAACAGAAGAATAAAAACATCTACTACAGCAAAATTAAACATTAATTTAAACCTTAAAATACTTTTGCATTTGTGGGCTAATTAAACAAACTAAAGAATGGTTTTCTTCGTAAAACATTATGACTGAATTATAACTGCTGGTGCGACGTGTAAAAACACAAATAAAGTTTCACAAAACGTCTCATCCTTTATGTATAACAAAACTACAAAGATGGGAAATAATAATAACAAAGTAAAATAAAATACATACACTGACATTCGAGAACATTAAGTAACATTAAGCAGTAACAAAATCACTAGAGTCATGTAACTTTATCATACAGAAAAAGTCTGTTTATTACAATTAACCTAATATTTCAAGCTATAATCTGACTACTTTATTTCTTGCTTTTTTATTGAAAACTTTTAAAATGAGATCTCAATTAAGATTTAAAAAAAAATGTGAGACTAAAATACATTTTGCTTTTATTTGCCCGCAACAGGAGAAAACACACAGCAGGGCCACCGGTCGGACTCAAACCCGCGCCGCGGCTCTCTTGCCGTGCAGCATGTGGTTGCCTGCTTACCCACTGAGCAAACACGGCACCCTTTCTTTTCTTTGAAAAACTGTGACTGATGTGTTGAATTTCTGTTTTGACATAAATAATTTTTCAGCAAGGTCTGCTCTGTCCAAGATCTAATTAAACGCTGGTTTATTAGTAACACTGCCTCGTACCATCCATGTGAATATTCTAATGATCCCATCTAGCACTTTTTCCTTGAACCACAGCTAAAATTGATGCATAGAAAAGACAGAATGATCAGATCTGGCGCTCAAACGTACCTCTCTCTCCAACTCAAAAGTGGAGGCAGAAAGTCAGACTACAAGCACATCACTTTTTCAGTGACTTACACATGTGTATAATTTACATTTCTCCCAATCTGCACTCTAATGGAGTTGCAAAGAAAGCCACACAAAGAAAGACTGAAAGCTTTAAGTCTTTTTGTTTAGTACTTGATAAAAGCAGAAAGTAAAGATAAGCATTTGGACTCACTCGATGTGCTGGATGTGCTACCTGTCTTCCAGCTGCCTCTCTGGATAACCTGAGCCACAGGAGGAGGCTGAGCCGTCGCTCTGGGTGTCGACTCATACACAGCACACTCTAATGTCATACTAGTGCCCCAGAATGAGTTTCTCTGAAGGGGTGCACTTATCTCATACTCTACGGGAAAAGACCAGATTAAAAAGATAAGCTTTTTTGACAGCAATGGCATGCTATTTTTCAATATGTGTTTCTCACCAATGAATCCTAACAGTATTACATAATCAGCGTATAAACAGTGGAAGGTATACAATGTGTTAAATCTGCGTGAACCTGATCTGATTCCAAATGAGAACATAAATAATTTTACCAAGTTCCTTTCCTGTCTTCTCTCTCTCTTTATGACGTCTGGTGATGCTGTTTCGTAATGTCTCCAGATTTTTCTCAAGTAAGAAAAAGGAAACACAGGCATTACTTTTATTGCTTAACCAACAATCAACTCCTTAGAAAAGTTTGAACATTAGATCTACCTGCTGATAGCGTATGGAGTTTGCCCTCCGCTCATGATCAACCTGCCAAGCCTTAAACTCTTGGACTGCTTCGTCCACAGTAATTTCTCCTACTTTTACCCTCTCTTGCAGAGATATGAGCTGCCTCTGCCCAGGGGTCTTCATCCCAGCGTAAGGATCATATGCAGGCGTGGGGGCTTCCACTACAGGCCGAGCTGAATGGGAGGAAAATAGTGTATAATTCATTCTATTATTAATTTATAAGCAAAAACCTCTGGAACATAAAATATTGTATTCGTTTCATGAAAGTCTTACAATAGTTTGATGTATAATGGTAATATGGGTGCGAGAGCAAGCGCACTAATATTTTTTATTATTTTAAATTTTAAATGTCTTTACATTTCTGATGTAAATATAAACAACTACTAAATCCTAAAAACTAAAAAATCACAAAAACAAAAATAAGACCTCTTGTTATGTGTTGATGACAATAGTTCAATAACAGTACTGTATTTTTATTTATGATGAGCAAACCAGTTTAAAATCAGACCCATAATCAGTGCACACAGCTAACCAATCCTAATGCAGTATAATAATACAAGACGATAATACCAGAGGATGTAATTGACATGTCAGTGACAGTAGTGGACTGTTGCCTCACTGCAAGAAAGTTCAGGATTCAGACGTTACATGTTCTTCCTGTGTCTGTATGAGCGCCCAGTGCCTCTGGGGGCTACCAGATACACACATGTTATGTAAATAGGCAACTCTAAGCTGGCTGTAAATGTGCAATGAACTGGTAACTAGTCCAGGCTGCACCTTACTTCCTGTCAGCTGGGGTTTGCTCAAGGTTTCAACTTCACTTTCATTTTTACCATTTAAAGTTAAATATTCAAATGAGGAGCGAAAAACAAGAACGCTTCTGCCGTACGGGCCACGTACATTTTTGCTCTTCCCGTATCACATTTAAGTGTCTGCTGTGAAAAGGGCCTATTAATGTCAGAAGATCACATGAACATTTGTTCTCAGTCACCTACCCACTCTGACACCAAAAATTCCCCCAACGCACAGTTAGCTGTAACCACTGAGTCAACTACAAAGGTTACTGGTTTTGACCAATGTGGTAGTATTAAAAGCCCTGTGCCTCACAGAAACATGCTACAGCACTGTACAAGACTGATGATAAATAATCAAGATGCAGATAAAATAAAGGCACTTTTTCAAAAGCGGTTTACCAAATGAAACCATGACCGGTTCTAAACTAGCTTTATATAAGTGGAAAAAAAGAGAAAACAGAAGCATAAAAGACTATAATGATTAAATGAAAAGAAAATTATTTTTATTGGGATTTACCTGCATGATATCCCATGTCCTTTGCTTTATTCTCAGATGTACCTTTATCTGAAAATACTATCAAAAAAATAAAAGTTACATATTTTTGACACATTTGTGATATAAAAAAATATAACGTAATAAATAAAAATCAGACTGCACCATACCTCTAGAAATGTACGTCGTAGACTTTTCAAGCTCAGTGTTTTGCTCAGGCCTGGGGATGGGGGCTGGTGGACGGTTCAGGACTACTGGGTTGTAAGTACTATTTGCATCCACAGTATCATAGATATCCTCTGGACAGAGGTTGTATGGGTCTTCCTCTTCCTCAATTTCATCTAAGCTATTATGATCAACTTTTTCCTCTTCCTCACTTTGAAGAGGTTCATTGTCCTTCTTGACTTCAGTGGCATTTGGTTTTGCTAAAGGTAAGAGTGTAACCACATGAAGCACTCAATGCCATATAGGATGCAATATTATTTAAGGAAATTATTTAAAACTTCAAATGTATACCTTGAAAGAACTTCCGAAGCATAGCTTCCTCAGGGTTCTCATCTACTGCAGTCATCACCTCATCTTGAAACCCCCACCAGAAAGAAACAATACAGCACCATCATCATCTGCTGCTCCCAGTTTTGCTGTATGAATTATTGTTGGAACAATAAATAAAATAATGCGATACTTACAAAAATCCTCTGCACATTCAGGGTTGATCCCCACCATCGACTCATATATATCCTCTGAGCAACCCGAGTATTTCATCATGATATCTTGAGAGTTAGTGGACATCAACTCATATACCTCTGCACTCTCGTCTGTGTTGATAGTGTCCTCAAAGTGACACTTGAGCAAGTCTGCAGTCTCCTGGATTTGTTTAAATGCAAAAGACAACCAGACGCTAAGTACAATTCGTGAAAATGCAAAGAATTGAAAAGATTTTCTCTGTGGACTTACAACAAATTCATCCATGAACTGCCTGAGATCATTAAAACCACTCTTCTCTGCAAGCGTGTTTGGGTAGTCTCCATTCTTGTTCATCACACTGTAAGCCTGCAAAGCTCCAGGACACTGAAGCAGAACGGTGGTCAGCTTCTTCAGGCCATACTTGGCTGCAAAGTGGAGTAAAGTAGGAAGCTCCTCATTCCGCTGATCTGAAGCCCACAAAAAGGCAAACAGATAGAACCAGTTATATATCAGCTGCTCACACTTTCTGCTTTTTATCATAATCTTTGAATTTAAATGAGAACTGTTAATGGTGTTATTGCAAAGTGGAAGTATTTGGGAACCACAGCAAATTCGCCTCAAAGTGGTGGACCACGTAAAGATGTAGAGCAGGGTGGCTGAGAGCTAAGGCCTACGGTGTATAGAAGTCACCAACTTTTGTAGCTATCTAAAGCAGCGGTGAGTAGCGGTAAGTTCCAAGCCTCCACTGGTATTAACATCTGGCCACAAACTGCGCCAGGAGCTTTATGGGTGGGTTTGCATGACCGAGCACCTCCTGTAAGTGTAACATGTAGGTGGCCCAGAACTTTTCACCATATAATGTATGTGCGATAACAGGAAGTCTTCTACAAATTTTTTTAGCTGACTCGCCCAACACCAATAAAATCATGTGTTAAACTTACATGCTGACATATTGTCTTCCTCAATCTGTCTGATTCCAAACAGCTGAAGACCAGTTGAAGGGATCTTGGATTTTAAAGAGTCGGACAACATGCTGTCCAGTGATTCTGTTGCATTGGCTGTTATGTTGAATGCCTGGATGTTCAAAATAAATAAATAAAGCTTACACAAGCTTTTACAACATTAATCTAGCACAACGATGCTATTTAAAGCGCTAAATAATGTCTCACCTGGCAGATGAAGTTAACAGGATCTGTAGCATTTTCAAGATACCGACTGACTTCACCCATGCTGGTGTAATACGTAACAGGAGTCAGGCTGACAGACGACTGGCCAGTGTACATAGTGAGGGACACAATTCCAGCATGCATATCTAAATGAAAATAAAGAGCAAATTAACAAATACGGTGATTTCAGATTAAAGCTTTCAGCATAAAAGTCCTGTGACTTCCTACAGATACTTGCCAGGTGCAGTAACACTTATGGTGTATTCATTCTCCACGGTGCCTGGCACCCTTTTTGCAGGTACATTTTCAGATGAAAACTCCACCTCTGGATCCGACTGATCATCTATTTTCTCTTTGAAAATGATAAAAAGTGTCTCCTGTTTCTAAAAGAAAAATGGAAAACTGGAATAAAATTGGCGTGTTGGTGACATTTTACTGATATCAAGAACTTCCTTTAGCTCCGCTAAACACTAGAAGATCAGTGTAAATGGTAAATGTATCTCTGTGTACCTGTCATACAATGTAATACAGAAAACTGGATTTATTTCAATGAACCAAACAAACATTACATTTGATGCAGCTCTTGTGCAATTACTTACCCCGCACAGAACTCTGTTTGGTTGCACAGTGAGACAGGTGATGTGCGTGGGTGAAGTTATTTCCTGACTTGCTGATATTACTGCGTTTGCAGGCTCTTCATCCTTCGGGACATTTTCTTCATACTCTTTTGTCACCACATCCTCTGTTTCATCGGTGCTAGGATTTTCATCTAAAACTGGTAAGACGTACACATCGTCTAGGGCTACAGGAACTTCACTCTCACGTTCAAGCTCCACTCTTCTGCCTTTAAATTAAAAAGAAATCGAATGTATTACAAACATCTTTATTTTCCCTTTAAATTTCTACAAATTGCACAATTTTAACATCTGTCTAGATGAAATCGCCTTCTTTTAGTTATTCAGAAAGTGTCACTACAGCACATCCAACTTTCTCACTGAGAGTTTCTGTTTTATGTTCCAGCTTTAAGATAACTGACAATTGTTATTTTATTTAATATCCTATTCTTTGTGGGTGCAGTAAAAACTGAATTAATTATGTTTGCTTCCTGGGCATCGAAAACACTGTACAAAAGAGAACATTTTACATACTGTTGGCTATTGCTTCCAAAATGGTAGAAACATAAACACCAGGCTCATCCTCTGCGTAGAGCTTCCTCCAGCTTGGCCAGTCTTGGAAAATCTTTGTCAATAGTTCGTCCTCAGACACACCACATAAAAAGGCCACCACTCGGTGAGGAGGATAGAGAATTCTCTGAAGTGCCTCCTGTAGTTCGTGGTCACAGAGGATGTCAAGGAAAACCCCTGTGAGGAGCAGCACGATGCTCTTGCAGCTTTGGAAATATTCAAAATTATATCCGTGGAGCTCATCGGCTGTGCTGATTGCATATAGCAAAATTGATCTTTTGTGGAATTTGCGAGAACTTTTCAAAATCTGGTGCAAATATGACGCCCATTCCTGTGCCTCAGTGGTGTGCAGAATTAACAGCTCATATCTTGAGATGGATTCAGGATGTGCTGAAAAACACAACGCATTACAGTGTGATTGTACGCTCAAGAGATGTATGCAAACACTCTCCAAAGCAGGTATCCAAAGCATAAAACCTGCTGACCCAGCCTGACTGCACACAGTGAATCAACGTTCTGCTCAAAATACACTAATGACATGACACTAGCAATATTATGTGCTGAGCTCCTTGTTGCAGCAGATTGTGATTGCCGTGGAAATGCTCCACAACGTACCAGCTGTCCGGCTGTGGAATGTCAAGGTGACTGTGGCTGGGGAATGAATGTCTGATCTGTTTGATATTTCACTGCAGAGCCAACAAGACGTTGTGCAAACATTGCGCTGTGTCAACACTGGTCAGAGTAATTTTGTTTGACTCATTACAGTGTTTAATCAGGTCAAGCTCACCTCTGTACACGCTACCTAGGAAAGAGCACCCACACAAGCATTCGCTTCATCGGAGCAGCTCACTAATGACAGGGCAGTGAGCCCTTACATCGTTTTATTAAAGGACCGATAACATGAATGATTTAACTTTACATGTGTTGGAAATACTACATTAATTCAAATCAACCATACAGGATGCCTAAGATGCTTGCTTCCTCTTTTTAAAGCGGAGAAAACAGTTTGCCTTGAATTTTCTGGTAAATGAAACTCAATTTAAATGAACACATCATTTCAAAGTCAAACAATGCAAAAGAGTAAACTATGTGTTAATAATGAAGGTTTCAGTACATCTTGTAAACTGTAGCACTAACTAGCTGGTGAAAAAAAAGGTACACACGACGGGTCGTATTACCTGATTCAGTGCTTGAGATGGGTTCTCCCATGGTCTTGAAGCCTCAAATCAAATAAATAAATCACCTCAAAAGGATCATCATTTGCCCAAATGTTTCTCTTCAGTTCGATGAAGTTTACTGATGCTTCTCTTCTCATCAGCTGAGACTACATTAGCTTTCACCAGCTACAGCTCGTTGCTCAGCAGTATTAATAGCAACACTTAGTTTCCTGATTTTGGTGACTCTGCCCTACTTCCTGAAACAGTTGAAGAAGTGAGAAACGCACCACTGTCATGACAGAATGTGCAACATGTCGGCAGTTACATTTGTTTTTGGCTGCTTTGTGTATATCTGTATGTTGTAAACAGCAAAATATTCTATAGATGAAACACAAATGAAGATAACGAGGGCTTAGCTAAGAATTTGATGTGTTGAATTTTGCGACGTGCAGAAACGACACAAAACCACTTGATGTCTTTTATGTAGGCGACGCTTTAGATTCGCCTTTGTTCTTGGTTTTCGCGAAGACTGTACACCCACGCACACAAACGCACACACACACAAACACACACACACACAGGAAAACATCAATTCACCTGTTATGAGCCACATCCTTCTTCTGTTTTTTCACTTCCTTACCAAGGTGCTGTCTATCTAGAGAGTTTTAAGGTCAGAGTGATTGTGTAAAATTACAATTCTTATAAATGAACATGCTTACCTCAAAAGAGTAGCTATACATTTGTGGCCAATAAAACTTACTTACTAGTAAGACTTACTACTGTAAACACATCGTTTCTGTGTTGCAGTTAACTTTAACATGCATAAGACTAAAGTGACAACTTCTGCAAAAAGTGATGCACATCTTAAAAATGTGTTGTTCTGTGATGCTGTGACACCTTAAAGCAACACTGAAAGTGCAAAACTGAAAGCTTTCATTGCTGGCGTCATTACACAGACATGTGAAGGATGAATGTGAAGTTCTAACACAATTCAGCCTTACAAAATTACTTGTGCGCTCAAATGCTGACACACACAGGGTACATCCTCATACAGCCACATGCTAAATATTTCTTAAGTAAAACAGAAAGCACATGACAAACGTGAATCAGTCACTGATCATAATGAATCACATGTTTGGTGTAACTGTTACTCAGTATTCGAAGTTTCAGTTCCCTCGTAAATGTCAACTATTTGCAACACATGGCACCACACTGACACAACCACTAGAGGGCAGAAGACACTAACTTAACATTAGATTGTTGTCCACCTATCATTTTGCCTATAGGCATGGATATGTACTTGGTTAAAAAGACTGTGGTGAGTTTGGCATAAGTCATAGAGATAGTTTCCATATACAGACAATCAAAAAAATAAAATAAATAGCTGTATGAGCCTTTAACAATAATGTTTATTTGCTATATGCTTCTTATTTGGCAGGGATATTTGCAGTCATAAGACCATTGGTGGATCAATTTGAAAAAAAAGTTTGACAGTGAATCCAAAATAAAAATGTGAAATTATGTATATTTTCATAAATAAATAAATGTGAGGCACATTATACAAACATGTACATAAGATTTAAAAACTATTATTAAGATAGACTGGGGTCAGCTGCAGACTAAATATTCACTGTTTGTAATGCACCACATTTTATAGATATGAAAATAACTGCACCTGGCCTTGAACTGCCAATGTGGAGATAACAATGATTCAGTGTCAGCAATCTGAATTCACTGACCTCTAAAAAGTAAGATTAAAATGAGTTAATTACACAAACAAAAAGAGACTCAACAGATTATGCAGGTGATATGCATAGAAGTTAAATGTTTTTCTTTTTTCCTGTAAAACGTCTTGCATGCATGCTTAAAAGTGTCGCAGGGTACACTTCAGGTTTTCAGGTATTTATTGAAATGTGCAAACAGAAACAGTAATTCAGTGTAGAAGGCAGAAACAAGAGTGTGTACAACACTAACAAGATTTAAAGTCCATATGACTCCACATTGCTTTAATATTGCTGAGGTTCAGGCTCTAGGGTGGCCAGCCCACATACAAATAGGTCACACTGAGTTGTTGCTTTAATTGTAATTACAGAATCAGTCAGCAAGAGTGTCTTCACCTGTCTAGACATTATTTCATTGACAAAATCAATTCACACTGCTATTCTCCAACAATACGGTCAGGTTTATTTCAGCTCTAGCCTCTTCCTGCGATGCAGACCTTATAATGGCCACAGCAAAAGTTGACTTTCTGACTTCTGAAGCTGCCGGTGAAGAGCAGGGTGATCCATGACCCGTCTTTAAGTACAATTTCCTGTAGAAAAAGAGTCCCCTAATTTCTTTTAAATCTGCCATTAGCTACCATAAGCATGACCGGCCCGTTACCTTTTGTTTGGGCTCCCTTGAAACCACTATCTATTAGGTGGCTCAAATCAAATCCCTGCAGCCTGAGTTTAATAAGAGAATAGTTTTGCTCTTATGTTTTAACCTTGTTATCCAATATCCTGTCGTTTTAGTCCTGTGTGTGTTTTCAGCGCAAAGAGCAACCCTGCTAGAGAGAGTGCGTCAGCCATAGCACAGACCTGACATCCCGCCTCTCGTAGCACAAAAGTTCAGACGTGGACCAACAGCTGAGTGATACTCTGCTGCACTGGCACTGAGTAAGTCAGACCAGCTTAATACTGACCAAGCTAACAGTGAATTTTTCAGTGTGTCTGACCCCTGTCTACAATAGATTCACAATAACAGGGTGCTTGACCATTAACAGGAAAACACAACATATTAATTTCTTCTTAGTTAAATTAATTTTATGCATTAATCAATTAAAAGACTTTTGGAATATGAATTATTGCAATAGGTAAAAGAAAACTGATATCAAATTGCATCTGATTTCAGTGAAATCTATATAATCTGTCTCCTGGGTGGAAAGTTAGCATTTCCAATATGCTGTTTTTTAATGAATGATGAAACGTAGACTTAATATTAATGGCAGCACACTTTTAAAGTTCAAACCGTTCTGAATTTTCAGTGTTCATAAAGATGTATAAAACAACATTAAAAAAGTCAGAACCAGAGTTAGAGAGCACTAAGAACTCCAAGATAGGATGCTGAAGCAGAGGGGAGTGAGTGAGGGGGAGGCAGACCACTGTACATCTAATATTGCAGACATAACGGTCATGTTACCGTCTCGTTTACTGTACTTCCCCATCTCGGGAAAGCTCTACCTCATATCTGCACTGCCTCAGACGCTGTTTGGGAGACTTTTAAAATAGAGGAAACGGGAAAACAAAGCGCAGTCTGAGGACAGGGAGCGCAATCTTGAAATGGAAAACTGAAATGGGGAAAGGGTCTCTAGCTGAAAAGTTATTTGGATGATAGCCTGCATAAGAAAGAAACTGTGTTTGGTTTCTCATTCAGAGTCACCAGCAGGGCTCATTGTGATAAGAAAATAAGTCTAATGTTACCTGATCTGGTATAATGTGGACCAATTACCACTCCATTGCACTTCATTACAGGACTGTAATAGGGCCAGGGGTCAGTGCTTGAGATGGAGTGGCAGAGGAAAATTGAGTCGTCATTGATAATATGATAAAAACTGACAGTGAGAGGCCCCTCCAACAAATTATTGAAATTTACAGTTGATAGGGAAACACTATAACCTCATTTGGTAAGCAGCTGGCAGGCACTTGTACAAAGCAGGTCCTCTAACACAATGAGAGGCTTATGGAGGGAGAGAAATCCAAAACTATCACAGAATAGTTTTAGAGTCTTGCTCATTGGCTTCTGGCACGGTGCGCACACATATTCAGTTTTTAGCATTTTTTTGTGTCTTTAACAGGTGGATTGTGGAGACTTTGTCTGGAATGACTTACCTCTTTAGTTTATGCAGCTACAATAATATGCTAACAAAAAAATAAAAAAGTCTCGAATAAACACATCAGATCTAGCTAACATTATTTCCTTTCGCTTTCCACAGCTGAAAAGAGAAGCGAGCAGGCTGAGAAAATAAAAATCTAGGTTTCTGTAAACTTCAGTGTTCTTGGGAGAGGTATGGGAAACCGTTTGTTTGCCTCGGTTAAAGTCCCTCCATTTGAGGTCCCCTGAATAAATAAATCAAATAAACTACCGTCAGACATACATTTTCAATCCATCAAGGTAATCAGATTCTGTTTACCTGAATGGGAACTATTCTAAAATGTTATTAAAAACTTAAATGGAGTTTAGGTGTGGAATAACTAGGCGCTGGAAATGATGAGCAAACAGCAGGATAAGATTCCAATTACTATTAAACAAGCATTGCATTGACTAGTAAAGAGGAAAATAGCTTTGACATTTTCCACAGCCGGAGCTCCAACCTGACAGGCTTTGTCGTGGGAGAGCACAACAAATTCAATTCATAGGCTTTAAGACATGAAGTAGTCAAAGCTTTCTTCTGAAATATTACCTAAAGGTCCATTTTCAATTATTTGACCAGCAGTCAACATTTGTGTTTGTAATTTAATAGACACTTTACATGGAATAATTGTATATATTTTAAATATCATAATATTCAAATAATAATATGAATATATGTAGTTTTAATTTGAAAAAATACTGCAAGATATATATGTTCAAAACACATCTTTTAAACTTGCCACAATTCTCCCGAAGCAATTACAATATGTCCTAAAATTAAGAATTCAACGAGGCCTTGAAGTCATTACCTCGTGCTGAAGGAAACACAATTTGTGAATCATTTACAAGACCAGTTAAGTTTATCTCACATATCTAAATAGGCAATATATTGAATGCATGCTTCATTGATCAAAACTGTTGTGGAACAACTTATCGAGCGGCCATCTTTAACTAGTATTTAAAAGATCATTTTGCTTTCATCTACAGTCTGTACTCAGCTGAAATCACTTCAACGTGATAAGACAGTCAATTTGGATGTCAGCGCTGGCTACAGTAATCACGCTGGCCACTAGATAAGTGTGACTTTATTTATTTATATTGAGCCCCGTGCGTGTCTAGTTGAAGATAATAGTTTCATTTTCCTGAGAAAGTTTGCCAGCTGCCCTCATTGTGGAGTAAATGTGACAGATTTGTGCTTCATTAGGATTCATCGGGCTGACAAAGATGGATTCGTAAGATGAATCAAAAATGGCAAACGCGTTATGCAGGAGTCCATGAATGTCTTTACTTTTCTTATAGCAACTTTAAAGCTTGAAATTTATAGATCTCGGGTGAC